CTGTCACAACTTCCTCAAATCAATAAGTAAAAACAAGACATATTTCTGGCACACAATGTACATTTCCTAATATACTTTTGTTCTAGATTCTGCAATGTGTGAGAGAGACAAAAAAAGGTAGGTAAACACTTTAAGGATTTAACTCCACCCAAGCCCCCCCTACTTTTGAGGTTTATGTTTCAACAGACTTGCCAGTACATTATGTTCCCGCCACAGTACAACCTACCAGCCAATGAGAGCGATGAACGGTAAGAGCATGTAACTGTTCCACATTTCTGGTTGGTTGGCCTTCTATCCAGTCTAACAAAAACAATGAAGTCTTTCCGTTAAGCCTGCTCTATAACTTGTAAAACTACAGTAGCACAACAGAGGCACTGTTTGTTCAAGCATCCGTGCCAGTGAACAACAACATCACTTGGTTAAGAGAAAGCGGCTTAGATAAACTACACAGACAGATGCAAATACTTCAGTTTGCAAAGTAAATACTATTCACAGATTTTAAAAAATATGTTACAAAATGAATTCAGTAATCTAAACATTTTCAAACCAAAGTGTGCAATTCATAAGCATGGTCTGAACGTGACCTCACCATCCACTGCTTGCAGAAATCTAGCATGCCCTCTCCAATCACATGCAAGAGTGCCAGTCAGCACAAAACAACTACAGTCACGTCTGCTCGCCAAAGAGGGAAAAATCATTCCCGTAACCCAATTGATTCCATTTCCAAGAGACGGCTTCAAAGGGAAAGTCCTTTCTAACAATAGCTCTTGAATGCCATTTCTACACGGATGCTTCACATGGAATACCTGTTTACAGAACGCAACTGCTATTTTAAGGTACACTGCATTGTCACAGCTCAGGTTAGTTAAAAACTAAGGAAACTTGAAAAAGATTAACCCAGTAACTTTGTTTTGGTAAGTCTTTTTCTGCAAGCATCTGAGAAAATGAGCACGTCTGATTTCGCTCCCTTGGTGACGTGTCAAAGGGATCTCATTATAATATTACCGCCCCTTAATCTGTAAGTTTACACCCATGGCGCTGTCATTTGTTTTCACAAGCAACAACGGTGTACTAGTTCTAATGCCATGGCGAAAGTTTGAGCAAAACATGCTAACTGTTCTGTCTTTGGCTGCACAGACGAGCACAGAACACTATTTAGAGTCCCAGCCTCAGAGGAGACAAGAGAGCAGTGGATTTATTGATTTATTTACTGTATATTGCTGCTGCCACACAGATCTAAAATAAACATGCGATTTATTTCCCAGCAGTTTACCTTCACAGACATAACCGACTGTTTTTGTAACTCGTGTGTGTTTTTAACGTAAACTTGTGTGTGAATGAGAACTTAGTTTAGTACTCATATGCTGTGACAGCCGCTTTCGGTCCGTGTGCTTCGGATGCGCGCACTCAAAAAAACGTATATCAGAAGTTTAAACTCATATGGTTTAAAACGCATGATTTCAGCACGATAAACATTATAATCAGAACCAAAACAGATGTTTCTTAGCAGGTCCGAGCTGTAATGGTGCAGCTCTATTCTGGAAAAGGGGGCAGGGAGCAGCAGCTCATTTGCATTTAAAGAGACAGGCCCGAAAAACAGTGTGTTTCTGCTTCCACTCAAAATAGGCATTTTCAAAATGTTATAATAAATGATCTGTGGAGTATTTTGAGCTGAAACTTCACAGACACATTCAGGGGACACCAGAGACTTATATTACATTTTGTAAAAAGGGGCATAATATGTCTCCTTTAACACACGTAACCCATAAAGCATATTACCTTCACAGCATATTCTTTGTGAGTGATTTGGTTGATGCAGGTCTGGACTCTGGCATAGGCCCCTTCTCCCAGCACCTCATCTTGCAGTTTATATACATCTGAAATCAAAACAAAAGTGTTATTATTACACTACTGAACCCATTTGGACCTGTCAAACTGTAAAAGTATACTTGAATAATTCCCCTGGAGAAACTTTAACACCTTGGAAAAATAGAAAACCCCATCAGATATTCACTTACCCTCAAATCGCCCTGAGAAGCTGTCTGTTGCCCGGCATCTCTTTTTCTTCTTGTTTCTCTTTTTGGCATCTGGGATGTCGATGGGCTGGCTGGATGGCATGTCTGCACATCATAACAGAAAGAAAATTCAAATGTAAAAACCTGATACGCTGTCATATAAACATGCACAGAAAGCAGCTTGATTATACTAGGAAAAAATAAGCAGATAGTATTCATCCCTAATCTGTAAAGATAAAATATGTTAACATTGGTGTAAGGTCACGAATCACAGGCAGTGCTTTGTCAACACGTCTTCCTATTGGTTTTTCCATAACAGTTAGATAAAAAAACAACATCAACTTACCAGGTCGGGCGGAACAATCAAAATCAAAGGCAGATTCAAGGAGATGGGATCCTGTTTTGGAAAATTCCTCAGATTCAAAGGGATTTTGGCCCTGGAGATAAAAATATATATTATTCAAGACTTCAACAGTTGAACAGTGTTGCACATTTGTTAAATGCCTTGCAGATACTTATTAATGTATCAATTCTAATGAACAACTAAGAGCTTCCTGGCATTTGGTTTAATGTTTAATTAATGTTTGATCTCTGATACCCTATGCAATGGAATCCGCCTGATCTAAGTATATAAGGTAAATGAAAACATTTGTGCCTATTATGTGACGTGATCTATTGCCTAATGCCAAAACAATTAATTTGTTCATGCAACAGCAGTGGAGACGAGTGAGACTGCACTCTCACCTTAAAAGAGTGATGGAATCCGGTAACTTCGGTGATCTTGTTCTGCACCATTTTGTTCTGATTTGTGGGACTGGTGGATGGCGTCAACAACGGTGGTCTTAGCTTTAGTGATAAATTTCACTCAGCTAATCCAATGTCTTAGGAACCGTGGTGCTTTAAATGGGATACCTGAGGGGGAAATAATAGCTTCATTGTAAATCTGGCCATGTATTTAATTACAAACTAAGCACTATAGCACTTAATTCTGACAACTAGTTTCTAATAACCAAAGGCATATAAAGGAATCATTTGTTTATTATTACCCTTGCCATTATGAATTATAATTATAAAGCTGTAAAATAAGACGCAGATTCACCATAAAAGTAGTCCAAACGACTCATGCGCTATATTACAAATGTACTTTATAGTTTGTGTGAGGATAGACCAATAATAAGTTGTTAGCTCACTGGAGGTGAAGATCATCAGTGAATAACATCTACAACCGAATCGCCAAGTCAGCGAGTTGAACTCGAGAACAGGATCAGTCCGATTTATGAACGAATCATTCAGCGCAACCCAGACTGGTGTTATAAACTGAATCAACAGAATCGATTCAAATAAATATAGTGTGGCTCCAGAAAACCTGAAATAAAAAGACGAGTCGTGTTGACTACTTTTATGCTGATTTGAGTTGTTTAATTAGAGCCTTGACATTTTCAGTCACCATTCATTGTCAATGAATACAAAGACTTTTTTTGCAAAATGTCCCCGTTGTGTGTCCGTAAAAATTAAAGTGATATGGGTTTGTAACGATATGAGTTTGAGACAAAATGACAGAATTCTTATTTCTGAGTGAACTGCTCCTTTAAACCGTCACCTTAAACAGATATACATACTAACGTTACAGGCGCAGTAAAAGCAAGTCACTTCACAAGCAGGGACTTGCATTTACATGCCCCTGAGACTTGTGCCAAGAATAACTCAGGTAGAAAAAGCTCGCTATTTCCGTCCGTTATTCACTCAACGACATGGTAAATTATTCTCTTTTGTGAGACGAACGTTAATCACATGCACTCGTGATGTTCAACGAATCACCACACTGAATGAATACAATGAATGATTCAAAAACAATATACAACGCAGCGACTGCAATGAGTCCACCAGCACCTTAAATCAGTGTGAAGAAACGAAAACCTCCCAAAGACAAATGACAGCACTATATGAATAAAGTAATTTCGAGACATTTCCAAAGATCTGCCAACAATGACCCAAATCAAACCGTTGCGCCGCATCCTTTAAAATCAAAGCCACGTTCAGTTTACTCGTCTGTCAATCCCGATCTATCAGCTGAATGTAAAGCTCGTCCTTACCCCCGTTGTTGTCTTTAAAGCTCCAGGCTTGACGCCGTTGTATGAGCCTCTGCTTCGGGAGCAGCAGATGGTGGCCGTGGGCGGTAGGGACTATGTGGAAGGTACAAAAAAGACACACGGCGATCCTCGGTTTTATAATCTCACGCCCCTTCCTACCCACCTCCTTCAGTTAGACCAGCCCCCTTGTCTCTGTAAACATGTACCACACACACTCCGCATCAACTGAGAGAGAGCACGAGAGTCACGTGGGCTGCTGACGAATGTTGTGCTAATGGGCATAATAAAGTCTGTTCGTTCTTTATCAGTAAAAATGTAAAAGCCCTTTAAACTGGTACTGGTACCGTAATATGAATCCACTCAAAAGAATTATGAAGACTCAAATGTTCATAATCCAAATCGTACGTCGTGTGTATACACTAGTCGAACTAGCATTCATTTTGCCTGATGCAATATTCTGCAACAGACAAATTAACTGTCAAAAACCCCAAATGCGTTAGTTTTTAAACAGCTGATAAGAACTGGATTTCTATTTAGGAAATATAGCTAATGATGACTTGAAATGTTTATTACAAAATTAGTGACGAGATTATATATATATAAATGGTGTAGGATTTTCAACTAAACAATTTACACTCAGAAACTGCTAGTAAATTTCACAAATAATTACAAAGAAACGACAGTAACACATTGAATTGAACTTGAACATTTAAGACAATGTGTTTCTTATTCATATTACAATTACACATGCAAATTTACAGTTTCATAATGTATGGAGTTGGGATCTAGGCTACATCTGTTTTTTTTTTTTTTTGGACCTAAAATATTTCCTTAAAGTACTCCCTGAGATTTAAAGTAAATATTTCAATAACTATAATACATAATAATAATAATAATATATATATATATTACATTTCATGATTTAATTCATTATTAGCTTTTCACCAACAGTTTGGGAAACCCTTTCATGAACAGCAATATTTTCTTGTAGATTATTTAGGAACAATGCATGAGCAACATTTGTTACTCTATAAAACACAACTGTCTCATCTGAACTGTAATTTCATCATTCCTTTCCCTTAATTGGATGGATGGGAATGTTGGGATTCACTGGCACACACACACACGATCGTGACACAGGCACGTTTTACAGACATGCTGAGTCGGAGATAGACGGTCAGGAGTGTATCCTCACGCTGGTGTTAATGAAAGCTTTGATGATTTCGATCCCATAAATGAGCCAAGTGAAATAACTATGAGCCCCAGGCATGGCAGTTTTGATACCCGAGTCATTTCAGCTCCCATACAATGTACAATGTCACAAAAACAGTGAAACTTTCTTATCCTTAACTCACATGTTGTGTCAATAGTAATATATAATGTTCTTCAGTGGCTTAATTTTCTCAGGTGATCAAACAATTCAATGCAAATTAGAGCCATTTGGGTCCAAGGGACATCTTGTGACTTCCCCCTCCCTTCTGTCTATCTCTCTGGTTGGCCTCTCAGTGTGTTTTGGCCTATATATTCAGCCATGAAAACAGCCCTAAAGATTACGCAAGGTTCAGAGCGAGGCTCAGAGGAAAGAAACACATGATGAAATGCCAAGTTATGTTGAAAACAAGCCACGTGATAGAGGAGGAGCAGAGGGTACTCTAGGTTGACAGGGTGGGGTCTTCGCAAAAGGGTCCAAATGGTATTCTAACTCTCCATTGGGTAGGAATGCATAACAGAGTCAATAACAGCAGCACACACATGTACATCCCAAAGAGGGTGGGATCTGATTGGTGAGGTTCGATGGGTGTGTTAGGAAAAGTAGGCTAATGTCTGGTTGTTCTGTATAAGAGAACTAATCTGCATTTGAATGTACAGTGCAAGAACATATGTGATGTTTTTGTTGGGGAGGAAAAGTGAGGAAAGTGGAGAAAGTGAAAAAGAGAGGTGTTTGTGTGTGCGATGACAGTGGAGTGTGAGAGTGTGTGTGTTTGGAGAGGGAGATAAAGACAGACGAGTGTGTGTGTGTGTGTGTGTTTGGACTGATCTCTTTGGGAATTCTGTAGTCCTCTTCTGTTACATCAAGGGTGTGTAGGTTTTCAGAGGAGTCAGCTAGTACATACACACATGATGAAGATTTATTCTCACTTCTGCTGTAGCACCTAAACCTTTCCTGGAATCAAAATCCATGTGCCAGGAAAGCATGAACAGCTTATGAGGTGACTGTCATCAGAAACATCAGGCATTGACAGCAGAATACACCTGAATGTGATTACATCCTCACATGCTCAACCTGAGATTGTGGATTACATATTACTGCTTGGCTGCACAGAATAGGTATACATAAGGTCTGGCTATAAAAAAAATAATCTATGAAACTAATAAAGTTGAAAGGTTTTGTAGAAAAACAGCAACTGTGGAGGGAAGCATGTACTTCCTCTTTCCTCTTAAATGAAGAATTTTGGCCATCCCTAAAATATTTTTCTGATTAAGCAATGTGTTCTGGGCCTCTATTGCGTAAGTGTGCTTTTTTCAGTTTCTCCTAATCTCCAAGAAACTGGAAATCCTCCAGGCCCCAAACAATAAACCCAGAAAATGTAAATACTAGTGGAACAAATGGAAAAATATTTGCATGCCTGTGAGAGTCAGAATAGTTGGAGTTTCAAGAACATAACAGTGACGTAAATGCAGGGTAAAAAAACAACAACAACAACAACTTAAAATTAAACAGGATCACACTGAAACATTTTTTTAGATAAAGCATATCCCAATTCCTTATATTTAAATACAGATATAGCCTAGATATGTACTACATATATCTCTAGGTATGTACTTGTAGATATGTCTGCATATTACACTTATCTACAGATGTTTCTATCATAACACTCGTTTGTTTGTTCGTTTCTTCCTCACAATATTATTAAACTGTATGCATTTATTCAAATATTTATTTTAGTTTCAGAGTATTTTAGAGTCCCTGGGATTCAGTAGTCTAGAATCTAGATAACAGTATAAAATAGCAAATTCGAATCCCAAGATAGACAACCTTATGCAACATTTACCCGCATTGAATCAGCTTGATATCGCCTATGCTTGATTACACCGCGCGTGCTCTCGCGTGTGTTTTCATCTCGTCCTGCACGTATCCACCACTCCAGGAGCGTGAGGTCAAAGCTCCGCCCACTGACGTGCAGTTTCTGCTTCATTCCAGTTCTGGTACATTCCGAAAGAACACGACGATATCCAGATAATAACATATAACAGACGGTCGGCCAGGCGTTTTGTTGCTGAAAGCGAAAGAAAACGCCTGTTATGGCGCGGAACTGTTGATCAGTGCCGCAGGAATGTGACGGAACAGCAGCAGTGCTTAATCTGATGCAACTCACTACTTACCCAAGACATTTGTAACCCTTTCCAACAACTATATTTAGAGATTAATACATTTATTGTGTGTATGCATGCGCATATTCAACATTTGCAGTTGGAAGCATATATTATGTTTACACTTTATGTAGCGATTCTGTAGGTGTTCATGTAGGCCTAGCGGAGCTGTTTTCTTATGTTTTACAGAGCAATGCTCGGTCAAATGAATCACTTACTCTTTTGAGTCGCTTCTTTGAATCAGACAACCACACTCGCGCATTGATGCCTTTATGGACCTTAATTAATGTATTATGACGGCTGTAGATGATGATATATAGTACCAATGTATTGCCATCTGATATCATGACTGCACTGCACCACTATACAGGCAAAACAGTGATGTCCTGAAAAAAGTAAGATGTACACATGCAAAGGCAACTGGCAAAATAGTTCTTCAGTGTATCTTCTTTTGGGTGTGTTTTTCCCTAATAAAAATTTATTATGAAATTATATTATTATTTATTCATATTTCTTAAACGTTGCTTAAGCATGTAGTATAAATACGTTCTCTGAACAATAGCTTTCAGTTGAACTTTTTTTTTAGAGCAACTGGTAGCTTGGCTTCATTTTGAGTATTTGTTACATTTGTGCATGAAAACACTTAAAGTGCATATAAGCTTTTTGCTAACAAAGCTTTTTGAATTGGCGTGAATCTCTAAGATCTTTACTTGGCTTTGGAAATGGGCTTTAACGAGCACATAACAAACTAGCATAACATTGTTGCAGCGTTCAACGTAAGTGTTGCGTGACACTAAAACACGCCCTCTTATTATAATGCAGAGACTACTGGAAAAATCTGGAATTGCGGGCAGACTGAAGAAGATTGCGACATGGAGATGTGATGTTGAAGTCAAGGGTGGAGCGCGATTAACAGTTTAACAGACAAACTGGGGCTGAATAATTATTTCCTCTAAACGTGCAACTCAGCACTTATTCAGCATGCAGGATAGTAGACAACAGAGCAATGAGATAACTATAAACTCATTACAAACTGGCTTAGTCGTAGTTAAAACGCTAAAGAAATAACAATTATAAAAGAGCCTTGTCCAAAAAGGAAAACCCGTTGCATCATCCAGGGCTGCGTTCAGCCCCGACGAAAACGGTGCAAAACGTTTTTTAAACGGAAACGGTGGTGCGTTGAACACACTGTTCTGATGACGCAAGAGTTGCAACTATGGCAGCTGAGAAGGCCATTCTTTGTGTTCTTTTTGAAGGATTTTCGGAGCCTGATGAAATCGGTATAAATACGTGTTTAATACTGCAAAATCCGCTCGATGGTACAGTCACTGCCCTTGCCCTCCAGAATAAAAGAGAAGATCCCAATCAAATGAAGGGATTTGTAGAAACTGTGGTTCCTAATTATTGTGATCCAACATTTGCCTCGCATTTCAGGATGAAAAGACAAACATTTCAGCTGAAGGATAATCCACTTCTTACCTCCAAGACTGTGTTATGATCTATATGACCTTATTATTTTTATTGTATTAGGCTTATCATTATTGCTGATCACTGTTGTTGTGCTATGATATTGTAATATTTACCATTATATAATCAGAGGGGTATAGAAAAGTTTATGAAAGTGTCACTCCATAATACAATAGCAAAATATATAGATATGTATAGTATTTTTATGTTACATTAATCAGTGTCTAGCACACCTTCCTAAGGAAAGGATATGGACCAGAAGACATTGCAATTACTAAATGATATTTAGACAG